GCATCATGATCATCAGACACCTCCCTCCCTTGTAGGCAAATATACTTGCCTGTGTATAAATCTTTATTGTGAAATATCTTGAAAACTTTAGCCAACCAGCACTTTTATCACCTGTTTTCTAATTCATCTAATCAAAATATGTAAGAATTAGCACATTTTATCTCGGAGGTCAATAATTTCCCAAAATTTGTAGACTAGTGTTATCAGGAACAAAATTGCACAGTATCACAATTTGTGCTTGCTTACTACTTACCATCCATGTGCCCTCATTTTTCCTAGTCTTTCAGTCCCAAATATGACTGGGAAGGACCAGTAAATATGTCACATGTTGCCTGGTCCTTCATTGACTTATGCATAAAAGCCTTAATAGATTGCTAAAGGAATCCCCCTGTGAGTTTATCCTGCCTATTTGTAGGGTGATTAGGAAGCACAGTTTGTGACACAACAGTATTGCTAGTTGGTAAGTACATCTGTTAGCACATCAGGTTTAGCTACCAATTCCCTGATATTGTGGGGCTTCAGCCTACACCCTAGTTCTGGCCTTAAAGGGACAGGTTTTATCACTGAATGTTCCTGGTTGGAAAAAGGAACTATAGAATTACAATGTTCGGGGGGCAATGGGGAGATGCACAAACTGAAATAAACTTTAAGTCACTGGATATGTAAACTGATAGCTAGGTTGATAGATGTTCCTGCATGTTCAGAAAGGCTTCTGAGTAACTCTGCAAGGATTCCAACATACCTCTTCCCTTTCCTGTTTTATCCCCTTCAGTAATCTATCAATCAGGGAGAATTATTCCCTCAGCTTTCAAAATTACCTCACTCTTATCTCATTTGACAGCTTCCCACAACCCCCTCTCAGAACATTGATAGAAACACTGGAATTTCTGTCAAAACACTGGCGTACTGGCAGCATTCTACCTTCAGAGTGAAACTAAGCATGCCTAACATAACTTTGCCAGCAATAGCTGATGAGGCTTTCATGGAGGCAAAAAACCCTTAATAGCTTTTGAACTCATGCTCAGAACTTCACCAAAGGTACACCTCCTCAAGAAACCAGAGTAAAATACCTGAGTAGTTTCTGCCACAGTGTAAAAGGAGTATATGATATGCTAAACCACAACTTGGAGTTGAAGAACAAAAGTATACTGCACCTGTAGTAGATTCTATGGGATTGCTTCTGAATAACACATGAAGCAATGCACTACATTTTATGCTTTGTTTTGTTTCAGTCATGTTCCTTTCACAGATAAGCTTTTCTATGCAACCTTGAAATGAACTCAGTTTTAAAATATAACACTGGGATTTTCAGGAACTGCTGACACATAATAGAAGCCTCGGACTGCTGCATTTATTGCCTTCTGTTGTAATTCAGAAAAAAAGACTATACTCCCAACCTGAGTACAACTTCTGTTAACAAGCAAGGGCTGGTGTTAAGGAATGCTCCCTCTAAACAAAAACAAGCCTCAACTATCATGAAATGCATCTCTGAGTTAACTTAAAGCAGTATTAGAAAGGTTAAGGAGCCATCTGCTGGTGATTTCAACAAAATGAAGAGCATAGAAGTGCTAATAAAATTTCAATTATAAATTAATTGCATAGTCCATTTAATTATCCATAGATTCAAACTACCCATGGATAATTCAAATGAAGTACTTTCATTGGAACATACAGTCTGCTCCATATCCCCAACAATTTCAATTAGTTACCAACATATTATGGGTGTCTCAGCTGCTTTAAAAATTAGTAAAACAGCAGTGTATTGAATGGATCTAGGCAACACACTGGTAAGAGCAACGTTGTTTTATGTATAGGCAAATTGTCTCCACAGTTCAAAGTTCTTGAACTGAAAAGCAGATGACATTCATGTTCAAGATTTTCACAGAGTTAATATAAAGTCATGTACTTCCCCAATAGCTAATTGTATATAAGAGCACAATAGATAGTAGCTCTCCGAAGATAAAAGGTAAAGGCTGGAACTGAGGATCTGCATCTCTTCATTTAACAATTGTGATTATATTACTGAAACTCCTGTACGAAAAGGGACACATATTTTGATAGCTCTTCAGAAGATATTTAATTTAGTTAAGAAGAAAAATGGTGTTGGAAGAGAAGGAATAGCAGAAACTGAAAAAATATTTTTAAAATGGATTGTTTTCAGTCAATTAAGGTTGGAAATATTAATCAAAGTGAATGTATTATGCACAGCTTGAAATGTGGATTTTCTTTAGATTCCTCTTTGTTCAATTACAATGCCCTTGAGGTCTGTAGGGTATTTGTCTATTATCTTTCAAACAGTTAAATGTATCAAGGCAAAACTGATAGTTTGAAAGACAATTTGATGTTAGATTTACATACTATCCTCAACATGGACTGTAGAGGCAGTCCAGTTATGTAATAGAATAACCATAAGAAAGACTTTGTCTGTTAATTCCCTGCCATCTTGGGGTTGTTGACATTCTTCAGTGTAAAAATGGAATATTTTCAAAGCAGTGCTGATTTCTTTTAGGCTTTCCTAGGCAAGTCAGATATGCTTGTTAATCTCATAGAATCAATAATTATTTTGTATGGAAGCAATAAGCATTGCCCTTTCCTGCAGCTAATACCCAGAGTAAAGAAAATTGAAATGTTTATACTTACAATGAGAGCTTCTTTTTTACTGAGTGAGCAAATAAAGCTATAAGGCCAACAGTGATGTGATTAGTACTTGCAATCAACCTTTTCAGAAAATTTCTGTTATTTCAGGGTATTTTCAGGCAGACCATTTTCACCATCATTTGAAGATTTTTATTTGCATAGATCATATCAAGGGATCAATAAGGAATCAGATTATTTGAAGGGCCTTTCTGCTATGAATGTGCTGTAGATATTATCAAGCCATGATGGTAAGAGGTCACCCTGCAGTAGAAAAATTAATCATCTAAGTCTGTCCATAGCTACCAGGTGTAAAACAACAACAACAGCAAAAGCCTCAGAATGAAAGTCTCTGAAATGTTCCTTTTATCATGTTGCCAACTAGCACCAAAACAAATCTGAAACGTCAGCTAGAGAATATATTCCCTATGTCTTGGAATGTTGTGGGTGTATTCCAAATCCACATGAAGTACATTGCACCCTGAGGACTTGTTCACACATGCCATATATTTGTAGTGAATGTTAATAATTATTTTTGAACCTTTTTCACAAATATCATGTGTGAACAAATCCTTGGACTGCAGTGTATTTTCCCTTGCAGTTAACAACAAATACATTAATTTTAATGGATCTGAGATGTCCCCACAACAAACAGTGCCTTAAGAGGTACATTTTTATTGATAATACTACTTGTATAATAGTGATAGGAGTAATAATAATAATAATAATAATAATAATAATAATAATAATAGGAATAGGAATAACTGTATAGAACCTGAGAATGTTCAAAGCAGACCATGTACCTAAAACAATTCTGTAAGGAAGCGTATAGTTATCATCCCTGTATTGCTGCCAGGCAGCTGAGGCTAAGCAGAAATGACTTGTCTAAGCCTATCTAGTTAATTCATAGCAGAGGAAAGGTTTACAGCAGGACCTTGCTGGTCTATAGTTCATGTTTAAGCTGCCTAACTCAAAGTGAAAAATTCAATTAGTTGTCAATTGCAATATCTTCTGACCTGTTTGCACATCTTTTCTAACTATAAACTGAGTTTCCTGCTTACTACAGAGCAGGGTGCATGTAGGTCTGATGCAATGAAAGGAAGGGAGCCAGCAAGATCCAGTACCTGAGTAACAGTGGCAGCACCCCCCCCCCCAACAGTTCAATATCTACACTTAAAATCAGCAGGCCACTTAACTTGGAGAGGTGAGGCCAGTGGGAGGCAAAACAGAGTGGCAACACCCACACCTCTCCATACCTGGAAATGGTAGATTTTGCCATGAATAGAAGTTACCTCCCTCTCAAGTGGCAGACAAGATTTTGCCTTCCTCACTGCAAGATGAGTGCATACTGAACCATATTGGTTGAATTTGTATTGTTTAAGGCTGGATCGATTGCAGAGGAAGAGCAGTTTTAGTTCCCCACTCTCCCCACAGTGGGGTCCCCTTAAGCGACCTGGAGGATGTGGCATAAAGTCCAGACCAGCCTGGTGGCTGCTGCTAGCCTTGCCACATTCAAAATGGAGGGAAATGTACATTAGTAGTCTGCACCTTCTGACCCAGCTGTGCTCCTTGAATGCAGGCCAGGAAGAGAAATTTGACAGCAGCTGAGCTGCCAGATGACAAGATCTATATCAGTCCTGTTCAGAAGTAATAAAGATGTAGCTTGTAGTTTGTTTGTTTGTTTGTAACCTACACCAATAGTCCTATATAGAACTCTCTTAACCCATTTAGGTTGGTAACTCCATTTTGTTCATTTCATACACAATTAGATTCTGCACTACACAAAAGCTATAGGCTTAACTGCTTGAATAAAAGACATCCCGTGCAATTTAAGCTTCTCTTTTAAATTCTAGATAAAATTATGTTAATTAACCAGAACTTGAAGGGGTGCTTTTGAATTGAAAAGATAGAAATAGCAAAAGCAGCAGCAGGTTTAAACCAGTGGTTAATACTCGATATATTAAAAACATTAGTGTTTGAGCTCCTGCAAAGAAGCATTTGTCCTTGCTTTATAGAGGACTAAAGCAGCCAGAGATCTCTTATATGTTTCCATTAATTTCAGTGAGGAGAGCTCTTTCACACATGCAAAGGATGGGCAAAAAGCTGGGCTCTCTTTAATGAAATGGTCACCAAGACACACTGATGCTTCCACACCAGGAACATGTTGCTGGATCAGGATGAAGGACCTTGTTATTTAATCTGCCTCTAGGTAGGATAGGATTACAATTTAATCCTATGCATATCTACACATAAATAAGTCCCCTTGTGTACAATGGGGCTCTTCCACAAGTATGGGTGCCTGTTGTGGTCTTAATAGTATTTAATAGTATTATGACTTGAAAAGACTTTCTTTTTTAATCTTTCAGGTAGCCAAACAGCTACAGCCATCAGTCATATGGATTGGAGATACAGAGAAAACATTCTACAAAAAAGTGCCTAAAGCTGAAAAAGAAGTAAGTCCAGCTTTCTAGTCCTGCTGTTTCTGTTTTTTAGTGACTTGGAAGATATTTAACCAGTTATGCATTTAGTAGCAAATCTATGCAGGTCTACCCATGTGTAGACCTAAAATAGGCATGCAAGTCCCACCTCTGATTGCCACTGAGAGCACCAAGGTCGAAAGAGGGCTTTGTAAACATGTTCAACTGAATGCCTTTATGAAGGTCAGTGTATAGGAAACCTACCTTCCTCTTTGTGCTCTCTGCACATCAAACAAAACTTTGCACCTGTGCAGAGCCTAGTTTCAGGAAGCTTCTATAGCTAACTGCTATTACCATTCAGTAACCTCATCACATTGTCTTGTTTCTCCCAAAAATGAAGAAACCCATAGTAAATCATGCCTTTTATTAGAACCTATTAGATCTTTGTTGTAGGAATATGTTAACTTTTTATTCACACAGAAGTCTTCACTGGTCAGAATAGAAATGAAAGACCCAGACCAGTTTTAAAGAGGAGAGAGCCAAAATCCAGTGTTTCATTTGTGGCTGATGGTAACCTTGTGGGGAAAGCTGAAATCAAATTTTCCATTTTGTAGTTGTATGCAGAAACTTGACTTTAACATTTTAAAATCAGTCACCTGTAAAATGCTCAAAACCTGAAGAAAAGACTTAGGTCTTGACCAAGCACACGCATTATTGAGACATGCCAAGTTTTAAATCTTAAAACTCCTATCTTCTCAATATATTTTAATACCATCATTCTGTTCATGATAAAATGCCAACAGCAAATTTGTCAAGCAACACTTGCTAGTTAAATATCCATTGAAACAGAAATAATAATCACACAGAGCCTGGCGTCTGTTATAAGTTTAAATATATTTCGAACCTGCATTATTTTAGTTGGTTCCAGGTTAGTCCTGCAAAGATACATGAGGCAAGGTTTTCAAAAACTACATCTAAATCTTGTAGCTAGCTTTGAGGTGGCTGATGCCCTCTGCTGGCTGAAGTTCACATATACAGTTTGCCAAAGTGATCTCAGTAAGAAGATAAAACAATGTGTTTTACTAGGCTAACTTGCTTTCACAAATCTTATATATCCTCATGGCAACAGAAATGGATCCAACAGTTTTTGTCTCTTTTATACTAAGCTGAAAGAGACTGATATGCTCAAATCCTGCTAGCATTTACATTGAAGGAAACTATGGCTAAGTCTGTATGTTTAACCCCTGTATGTAAAGATTTGCAGATTCATAGAATGCAACCCAGCCAGAATTAGCTCTTTCAGCATTTGTTGATTTGGGGGGAGAATTTAGCATATGTTTACCTGTCCATCTTTGGGTCAGTGAGATCTAAAAGTACTGGTAACACAGTGTTGTAGGTTCTACTCTGCTGCAATTGGTATTACTCCTTGCTCTAGTTCAACATCCATGACACCTCCCAGCCGTTAACTAACACATCCAGTGGGGGCATTATGGGGGGAAGGCTACAAAAGTCCACGTTTACATTTTATATGAAGAAGTGGGAAAGAAAAAATAGAAGTACCTTGGAAATTTTGCAGAATTGAAAAGTATCACCTCAGAGATTAATAGTATTGATGGGCTCTAGTAAGCACATGCCAAACTGTGAGGGTTTGGGCAGTAATGCTGTAGCTTCTCCATTGCTCTTAATTATCTACATGCATTAAAGGAAAATCATTACATTTTTCTAAACCTCTAAGTGAGAGGCAGCTACCTTAACATACCAGAACAGTGAAGGTGATTGATGTCTCATCCAAATTAACTTTTCCAAACTTTCAGTTAAACCTGTCAAGAAATGCAAAATTTATTTCACATCAACAGGACCACTGATCTTTATCGATGAAAATATTCGTAACAATCTTAGGTTTTGGCTGTTGAGCAATATAGAAGATAAACAACAACAGAAAAACCTAATGTTGGACACAGAATACCTTGAAATGTCACTTTGAATCCTGAATTGCTGATCCTCAGTCTAAATCAGGCTTCCTACAATGCTGCCTGGGATACAGCAGTGATCAAATATACTATTTTGCAATTGGATATGTATACATTCCTAGTGAGTTTGCTCTGGAAGAACAGAGTTAGATGTATGTGTTACTTCAAATAATAACAAGACTCCTTGTTTTTGATATGGAAGATGGAACCTAAACGTTTGAAAAAGCAACTTTCCAAGATCTTGAAAACTCTGAAAATTGAAGACCGAGTACTGATAGTAGGAACTACTAAACGACCCTTTGATGCAGAGCTCAAATCATTTTGTCGCGTTTACAAGAAAATCATTCTTGTTCCAAGGCCAGACTATGCTTCAAGATATGGCAAGTATATTAAAATATGTGCATAAGTTGTACTTACTTATGCAAACATCAACATAATTATACTCAACATAAATGCATTTTATAGCACTGTGACATAAATAGTCCTGACTTAATGACAACCCACAGTGGAAACTGCAGTGGCATGACTTGTCATCATGTCTGAAGCCAGCAACCATGATGAAGCATGGTAAGGATGAATCTCTGTGAAACCATGCAAGAAACAACAGTACACTCTATGGTTTCCAGGCTTCACCATTGTCTGTTTTCACATCTGAACCCAGAAACCATACTTGCGCATGGTTTCCATGTTTCTTCCATAGAGTTCTGCACAAAGAGCATCTGCAGCAGCCAATGTTGCCTGCGCTTTTTGCTGTCCAGGTCTGCGTAGCAACTGCTGATTCACAGCCAGCAGCATTCTGATTGGCCATTCTGTGCTCCTTTTTCTGTGTGCTGATTTCAGATGCCTATGTACACATTGGAATTTTGGCAGGAGCAACACACTTGCAAGACAAGCACATTCCCAAGGGTCAGCTGAGAAACATTCCCCAGGCAAGACACACTACCTCCATTCCTTACATAGATGCCTGCTCTGATGCCTTCTGTGTACCTGGCTACAGTGGGGAGAAGGTCCCTTCCAACATTTATTTCATTTATTTATTTGGGGTATATCTAACCTGTCCAATCACTACACATCTTTGGATGGCTTACAGCAGTAATTCAATAAATACAACAGTATAAATATCAAATATCCCAAACAATAATTATACTAATAACACTAATAACCCACGACGGGAATAAAACATTATTTTTTAAAAAAAACTTTAACATACTTGGTAAATAGGAAGGTCTTGACCTGGCGCCAGAAAGCATATAATGTCGGTGCCAGGCGGACCTCTCTGGGGAGCGCATTCCATGTATGAGTCCTGTGCACAGGAGGACATGGGCACATGTACAGCAAGAAGGGGTAGTGAGGACTGGGGTGTAGGTGAGTGTGCGTGCACGGGAGTGCTGCTCCAGAGCAACACTGCTACCTTAGTGAGGAGGCAGTTGCTTCTTCTGAGCAACAGAAAAAAACTCCAGTGGCAGATGGCTGAGGTCAAGCCCAGAGGAGTGTGTGAGCCAATGAGGGAGAACCAGGCAACACAGGCAGGAACAGTGAGATTGATTTTCAGCCATGGGGGCTGATGGAATACTAGCCATCATTTGGAGGAAAGATGGAGGAGGATGGAAACCACTCATCATGGAAACCATTTACCTGTCTGAACGCAGGATCTAAGGTAGGATACCATGCTGCGCAGTTCCTGCATGGCACATTTTAGTATTCTGTGTGAACGCAGCCACAGTAAATCCTAACAAACAACTCTCAATAATCTGCAATTTATCATGATAAGTTATAATTTATAATAATCCACAGATTTACAATGATCATATGAGGCCTGCATTTTAAGCTAAATCAGAGTTGAATAGTATGGGAATGAGCCTTCAGTTTCAGTCTAGTCACAGTTACTCGTTTCATCCTGAAATGAGAGCTGTCATAGTGTTAACAGGTTGGGGCAAAAGAGGGCAATGTCCACAGGCTTAATCCAGCCCACAGAGGTTGCTACTCTAGCCCATGGAGACTTGGTCTATCTCACAAGCAGATTTGTGAATGTTCTGTTCACTAATAACTTTGTGATTATGTTTTAATTTTTGTTGTTGATGTTGGCAGTTTTATGGAAGCATTTCATCCAGCAGAATGGAGGCATATTCTCCAAACAACTGAACATCAGTTGCTTGGCACAAGTTTCTGATGGTTATACACAGGGACACATAAGCTATGCAGTTCAAACAGTCCTAACTGAACGGCGCCTAATGCAACTGAGCAAGAAGCCACTGACTGCTGTTGAATTTCTCACTTGCCTAGCCAGGCAGGATCCAGTTTACAAGGAAGAAGAAGAAACATTTAAGGTTAGGTTGGTTGGTTGGTCAGAATTGATGATTCTTGTTATTTTTGCCCAGTAAATTCAAATTAGGGTTTGACCCAAGGAAATATGTGCTAAGGCAGAACCATGTGTTCACATGGCTGCTGATTTTCTTTTACCACTGAGTATTTGTCACATCTTCATGCAATGTGTGAATGCTGAATGCAATGCTGATATACCCAATGCATTGAGTATACTATTCCTTCAGTGAACTGTCACTGTAAAGAAATATAGCCATCATAGAAATTTCCAAAATTTTGAAACACGATGCATAATGATCATGGCAATATTTCAATGCCAAGGCAAAAGTATTCCCAGATATTATCCAGCATTTTAGTACTAAATCATACAATCTAATATGAAGGTTTGTGCCCCCTTCCCAAAGGTAAGAGAACCTATTTGTGATATTTGCCCTCCTAGATCTATTTTATTTTCTCACAGATTTCCATGCAGGCTTAAAATTCTTTATTGACATTACTCAGTTCATTTCTGTTAAAAAGACAAAGAAACAAAAGAACAAAGACGGAATCAGGGAATCCTACAGTGAACGTACAAAAAACCGTTCCTGAAGTAGATAGCTAAACGGCCTTGTGTATCTTGCTGTGTTGCCACATTTTAAGGAATGGCATTTTCAACTAGAGTTATATCATCTGAGAAATAGGGTTGAGCACAGAGATTGTAATGGTATCATAACTATAGCAACTTAACTACCACTGCTATGTATTCATGTTAATGAGCCACTTCAAGCAGATGATTGCTACTGTTCTTTCTATAGTATCATTTTCAGGAGAACTAAAGATGGTGATGCGGCTTCTCCACAAGCTACCCACAATTGGAATCTTGTAAGAAAAGGACAACTGCAGTTAGAAAAAGAAATACTACTTACATATTTGCAGGCTCCTTGAAATATGTGTCCATCTGATTTTGTAGGTTTGGTATGCAAGGACTCCTCTGGGAAAAGCACGAATCAAATCACTGACAGAGAATGAAGATATTGGGAAGGGGAAAGGAAAAGGAAAAGACAAGGGCAAAACTAAAGAGAAAATGAAAGAAGACAAGAAAGGCAAAAAGAAAAAGAAGTAAGAATTCTAGTGAAAGAGGCTTTTACTATGCAGCACAGCTATAGGACTGTAAACTGTTGCTGTGAAGAACAACTACTGAGGAAAAATCCCTTTCTTAAAATTTCTACTTGATTCCAGTGCAGACTATATCAAAAAGTGTTTCTGAGAAAGATCATTCAGTGTGACATTAATTCCCTCAAGGTAAACTAGTGACCACTGAATTTTGTTGTATTGCTTGCAAAGTTATTGGGACCCATATAGAATATATTAGTTTTTAGGAAAATATAATTAAATTTGTGGATCTGCCTTTAAAAATGCAATGGATATTTAGACGCTTTAATCAATGTGTAAGGTACTTTCTCAAGTGAAGGTACAGCACACATTCACAAAAAAATCCTCATAATCCTGATTCCGCCCTCCCTCCCTCTCTCTCTCCCATGCACACACGCACAGGATGAGCATGACATAACTCTCCAGAGCAGCTCAGGTAGTAGGCATTTCTCTACCCGCATATCCTGAGCTTCAGGAACTTGCAGCATGGCAAGAAGGAAGCTGGATGGAGACATGGGAAGCATACATAGTGCATGTGCTGGGTACACATCCTGCAGAAGCATGGATGGGCCTGAAATGGACACTGTGGAGATCCTTTCATGTGCAGGAGTTGTACCCTTGCACATGGAAGCAGTAGGATATGTTTATTCCTTATGAAGCTAACTTTCTCAGTACCTATGTGCCTTATGTAATGTATTTTCTAATAAATGTTTTGATCTCAAAAGGCTGCTTTCTATTTTAACACTCCTGAGCTCTTTCAAAAAAATGTAAACTATTAAATGAATACCTTGTTGTAAGAATGTAGTTATTTTTAAAATTAGAAGTGTCCAAGTCTCAAGTTGTGCAGACTGCAGAGTCCCATTAGCCCAAATACCTAACGTTTTTGAACTGGATGCCATGACCAACACACAAAAACTCCTGGCCCTCAATGGGGATACATATTGGAAATGCTCAAGTGATGCAACAGCATGTGGTATAATGCATGACAAAGCTCTCCCTCATCACTTGTAACCATGGAAGCTCTGAACTCCTTCACTGATACCCCAAAGCCACATATGCTGAGGCAGATGGCACAGCTGGAGCAGCCCCTGCAGACAGCAGACTCGATGTGACCACAGCCCAGAAGTAGATGGGTGGTCTGTTGCGTGGTCGTGCCAAAACAGTGGTCTGGAGAACATGGCTCCAAAGCTTGGCACACAGACGTCTACACATCTTCCACGTCTGCTTAGTGAAGACCTGACAATGCAGACAGGCCTCCATGAGATGCCCACTCTCTGAGGCAAAAGAGGCACAGCAAATGCCCATATGTGGGGGATAGTTTAATCCCACAGCTCACAAACCTCCAAAAAGGAGACGAAAACAGGGCAGCAAAGTGTTGGAGCACTGGAGAGATGGATAATAGAAGTGGGGGTGGAAAAAGGGTAGGTTAGGGTAAAGCAAAGTAGAAATGCAAGAGAAATCCGTTGAAGAGGCAAATACCAATAGAGGAAAGTCCCAAGGCACCCATGATGGTGGTTGGAAGAGAAATAAAAAAAGAGGCAGGAACCTGTCCTAAATATACCGGGGTCAGAAGGGGAGAGGTTCCTGCCCAAACAAGTCTAACTTGGAAATCAGTTCAACAAGAGGCCCTGCATAAGTGCAGATCCCGTATTTGTGATGCATTGAGCCCATGCAGCAGAACTGATGCTGCCACCAGCTCTCTCTAATACCCTGAACAGCACATAGTGTGCAGATATGCTATGGCTGTGACAACATTTATGGATCCATCTAGTTCAGCATTCTGTTCCCAGGGTGGTGATCCAACTACCTATGGCAAGACATGAGTGCAGCAGTAACCTTCTGCCCAGCAACTAGTGTTCATAGGCATACTGTGATGCTAGAGGCAGCCATCTGGACAATTAGCCATTGACAGCCTTGTTCTTAGCTGTGAAGTTGTGAAGTCGCGTCCAACCCATCACCACCCCATGGACAACATTCCTCCAGGCCTTCCTGTCCACCATCCCCCGGAGTCCACTTAAGCACACACCAACTGCTTCAGTGACTATCCAGCCACCTCATTCTCTGCCGTCCCCTTCTTCTTTTGCCCTCAATTGTTCCCAGCAGTAGGGACTTCTCCAGTGAGTCCTTCCTCCTCATTAAGTGGCCAAAGTATTTGAGTTTCATCTTAAAATATCTGGCCTTCTAAAGAGCAGTCAGGGTTGAGCTCCTCTAAGACTCACTGGTTTGATCTTCTTGCAGTCCAAGGGACTCGCAGGAGTCTCCTCCAGCACCACAATTCAAAGGCATCAGTTCTTTGGCGCTCAGCCTTCCTTATGGTCCAGCTTTCACAGCCATACATTGCAACTGGGAAAACCATAGCCTTGACTACACGCACTTTTGTCAGCAGGGTGATGTCTCTGCTTTTTAGTATGCTGTCTAGATTTGCCATAGCTTTCCTCCCCAGGAGCAAGCGTCTTTTAATTTCTTGGCTGCAGTCACCATCTGTGGTGATCTTGGAGCCCAGGAAAATAAAATTGGTCACTACCCCCACTTCTTCTTCATCTATTTGCCAGGAAGTGATATGACTAGATGCCATGATCTTAGTTTTCTTACTGTTGAGTTTCAAGCCAGCTTTTGCACTCTCCTCTTTCACCCGCATCAAGAGGCTCTTTAGTTCCTCTACACTTTCTGCCATTAGAGTGCATATCTGAGTTTCTTGATATTTCTCCCAGCAATCGTAATTCCAACTTGTGATTAATCTAGCCCTGCCTTTCTCATGATGTGCTCTTCATAAAAGTTAAATAGGAAGGGGGACAGTATATAGTCTTGCCTTACTCCTCTTTCAATTTTGAATCAGTAGTTCCATATCTAGTTCTAACTGTTGCTTCTTGACCGACATACAGGTTTCTCAAGAGACAAATAAGATGGTCTGGTACTCCCATCTCTTTAAGGACTTGCCACAATTTGTTGTGATCACACAATCAAAGGCTTTAGCATAGTCAATGAAGCAGAAGTAGATGTTTTTGTGGAACTCCCTAGCTTTCACCATGATCCAGCGTATGTTGGCAATTTGATCTCTAGTTCCTCTGCCTCTTCGCAACACTGCCTGTACTTCTGGTAGTTCTCGGTCCACATACTGCTGGAGCCTAGCTTGTAGGATTTTGAGCATAACTTTGCTAGCATGTGAAATGAGTGCAATGGTGTGGTAGTTTGAACATTCTTTGGCATTGCCCTTCTTTGGACAATGACTGCCTTAAATTTGTCCAGATAGGTGGCCAGTACTAGAAATTATTTCTGTAGTTAAACTATGCACTGTACTTTCCTTTATTTGTCCTCAATCTCCCACTAATCAGCTTTATAGGATGACTCCAGGTTCTTGTATTATGAGACTGGGAGAAAAATGTCTCCTTAACCATTTTCTTGACACCATGTATAATTCTGTACTCCTCTGTTAGGTCACCCCTTGCTCACCTTCTCTCGAAGCTAAACAATCAAAGGTGTTGCAACCATTCCTCATAGGACATTTACTCAAGCCCCTTAATAATTTGTCTTTCTGTGCCCATTTTAGATTTGGTGGCCAGAACTAGTCACACACTACTTCTGCTCAGAAGTAATCCTGATTCATAACAAAGTAAATGAAAATATTTACAGTGCCACTCTTTGCCGTAATTCTGCAGTTGTGTAAATTATTACACTGCATTTATATTCCACCTTTATTCACTTGTGAGGAACCCAAGGGAGTTCGCATAGCTGCATTATCTCTTCACAACAGCAGTCCTGTGAGGGAGGCGAGGCTGAGTGTGAATGGCTGGCTCAAAGTCACCCAGAAAGCTTCCTGGCTGAGTGGAGACTAGAACTCAGATCTCCCAGGTCCCCAGTCCTGCTGTCTAATCAACACATCCCACTGTCTCTCTCAATGGTCTCACACTCATCATTCCTGCAAAAGGATCCAAGCAACACCAACAGGCCAGTAAGAATAGTCAACCTTAAAATAGGGCAGAAAACTTGTAATCTCCTTCACCACAAAGAGGAACTGATTTTTCCATTAAGATTTTCTAATGGAACAATCCTGTTATGCTAACGCACCTTTTCATGAAACAGCTTTTAAAACTGGGTACTAACTCATTTGCTGCTTAAATATGAACCACCTAGAGTATATGATTCTCTTAAAAAGGCATGTGGCTTAAAAGATTAAGCTTGCAAATGTGCTACAAGATGCATGCCCATTTGTACATGTGCAATGACATTCAGAGAAAAGTGTTTCAGAGGGGACATACTTTTTCCTTGATTTTAGTGATTAGTGCTAAAGAAATCCCACTGTAATTACTCTCATCTTTTGGCTGAAAGAATGATTTCATCTGATGCCAGCTATAGTGGGGTAGTCCAAGGTAACTAGAAAAGGGAGATGTCATGTTCTCATTTGTAAATGAGATGAATCTTCCAAATTTTAGTTAAATTATTTATATGCTCTATTATTATTAAATTACTGGGCATTCATTGAAAGAACAATCATAAAGCAAGTAATTATTATAGTGATAATGTGAATGTCAGACTTTCATTGCAATTATTCTGAGCTTCATCATAAGATAATTTACCAATAAATTAACTGAGCTAAAGGGGGGGAGGGGGTCATATATAGGAAATGTACATGGTGCTGTGAGTTTAGCCAACCTGATAATTGTGAATGGGTGCTTCCAGGTGAGACTTGTGGAGCTATCACCCTGCATCAGTCACAGAATTTTAAAGGTGGTTCAGTTGACAATATCTTTAACTCATGTCCTGTGTTTCCCCATTACTTCCATGTTTTCTCTTACTTTAGATTATTTATTTATTTATTTTCTATAGCTCCCAGTGCTGGAGCTCTCTGGATAGCTTATCACATCCATTAAGAAAGAGAGCCTTTCTGGCTCCTGGGGTGGGATATAAATCTAATAATAAAGTAAAGGTCAGAGTGGCTTCTCATTGGTACCACTAGAAGCCCTCCAGCTGGAAGCACCCAATCATTATAATATTGCCTGATAGGGAACAGAGCATTGGTAAAATATAATTAATATCCCTTGGGGTGTCAAATGGTTGGTAGATACTATCTGGCTCAAAAAGCCCTCCAAGGTTGCAGCTCTTGTTCTGTGGCTTTTTCCTTTGGATCAATGCTTGTGGATGAGTTTCTGGGGATGTTATGAAGCTTCCCCCACCAATGGCAGCAGACTTTAAGATTAAACCCTTCGTAGGTGCTCTGTCCCACCAGAGGACCTGAATGCGTGTCTGGGAGGGAGGATATGGGCCAAGTGTGAGAAACTTGGGGGAGGCACATCAGTGTAGCGATGGGTAGAGTGGGTATAAGACATCGGAAGGAGGACTAGCCAAGTTAAGAAAACATTCCCTAGACAGTTACTGGCTGTGCTTTGTTCTGGCCCTCCCTATACTCGCAGATTTGAGGGTTGCCCTATCAGCTTGTCCTTGAGTCTCTGGGTGCTGCTCCTAAGTGCCAGATCAGTACAGAGTAAGACTTCTCTCATTAATGATCTAATAGTGGATGAGGCTGCCCATCTGGCATGTATAACCAAGACTTGTGTGGGTACACAGGGAGTGATTAGTATCAGCTATGCCCACTGGGGTATTTGGTTCAGCATCAGGGTAGATTTGAAGGTCAGGTTGCTGCAGTTAATTTGGATTCAGTTTATCCCTGCAAGCTCCCTATCTACCTGTCTGGAGTGTTTGTACATCATGCTGAGCCAACAGGACAGA